TATGAATCGTGGGTATAATATTGACAGCATGTCAGATAGCCCGCAAGCAAGCCTGTACCCACAGTAGAGATATATACCTAAGATAATCCAGGCAGTATTTAACAATGATATCACAGATACTTATGTTGTTGAGACAACGGGTAGAAAAGTCGTATTGTGGCAAATAGAGTTAACCTTGTGCCTCCCAAATCTTGGTACAATCAGATAGCACTATACAAATATACACTTCGTCAAATGAAGACTAATTTTACTTTCACAGATACGATATACCTAGATAACACAATATCGACAAACCTCGCCTGATATCAAACGCATGCTAGAGACATTCGGGAGGGACGCGTCTGTATAAATAACCTTGAGAGAGTCTCCAAGTCATACTTGTCTTTGTAGCAGGACAACAAAATCTTAGCACAGACCATACGAAAGCATTACAATCGGTTGATAGTGTCGTTGAATAAAATTTCGGTCTCTTTGGATTGCTGAGCGCACACCCTCTGAGATGGCTTCGGCCGAGCACGGTGTGAAGGTATAGGGTTGGAGATCAACGAGTAATTGGCACAAAGAGGTAGGCCAGATATAGGAACGAGATGCTTTTACATTTATTATATCATCAGTACGGTGGCTATTCTAAGTGCTTTTCAGATTGTGCACACCACAGCATGCTATTTATATAGCTTCGTGATACATCAAAACAAGGTGAAACTAGGCATACCAGTTCAGATGCGCGGACATTAAAGTCCAAGTTGCGAATAAAGGCAACGGTATACTTGCCTCCCTCGACCACCGCCTTACTATTGCGTATGTCGCGTTTCTTTAACTTTTTTTGTACATTCGCTGTGTCTTGCAATGCATTGTCGGCTGACGTTTGAGCCTCTGAGCGTCTGGTATGGGCAGCAATCTGCCGGTAAGTGCATGGCTTCCCATGTCTTCTCTTGCGCGGCATGTTGGTTAAAGCATGTACCTATGTCGAGGCGTATACCAGACACGTATCATACATACATATGTATATCCATATGAGGGGGGTGACCAGTAATACACCAGATAAATGTTGGGGTTCCAGTGAGAGTCAGATGTTGAATAACTGTTCTGGGGAGTCTATTTTTAGTCGAGTATGGTGCGAAATACGAGCGACGGGAAAGCCGAAGACCATGCATCAGGCATCACGGATTCAAGGGCCATACCCTATAGCTTCTTCTTCTTAGGTTTTATTAATGAAAAAATTCAACTAGATGTGATGGAAGGGAACTTTTTCGCGCGCCGGCAACATACGCACCAATCAAACAGCACTTACCAACCCCAGATGTGTGAGTCATGCGCTCGCGCCTAAAATGGATTGCAGTTGCTCTGGCCACTGGTAGTATAGCGCTGCGGGTTTCAGCTTGTGGCCGCGTTTATACATTCATAGTCAATATACAAAACAACATAAGTGATATCCACCTAATCGACTGAATTGCATAGTGCCCAGTGATATGCAAATTGTAACTATACGTTAGCGATATGTATATGAATGTCCATTAACATCTCACGGATGTACTGTATACTCGACACAAAATGTATACTCACAATCCCAAGAGTAAACATATATTTATACGTGTATATACGCATGTGTAATACTTATAGACATGCAATCGTGTATGACAAACTAGAATTGTGTCTACACAACAAATTTAGAAATGGCCAGGCAGTGTATTGTCCGAACAGCCTTTGAAGCATCACCAGCACCATACTAGGTTGGAACATATTCCACTGGAAACTGACAATAGTTATAGTTATGTATATTCAGAAATAGGACATCACAGTAGGACTCGCCACAGACTTTATTGATTCTTCTTCTCGATATAAGCTATCGCACGCCTTCGCTCATACAGCAACCGCTCTTCGCCAACCTCGGTAGCGCTCGTGGATTCAACACACTGTTGTTCCAACGTCGAGGACTAGCAGACGGTTCTACAGTATACTAATGTTTCGATAAATAATTAATTATTATCTTATTCTCCTTGTGGTCACTGCCATTCCAATCGCTTATCGTTATTATATCTAAGATGGTCATATGCCACCGTCGGCAACCCAAAGGAACGATCCTTTTCAAAGTATCGGTTCGCATCCCTACATGTCCTTGACACAAGTCGCAGACAGTTACAGCCATACATTATGGCCAGTACGAGTCATACTCGCTTTTAAATAGCCAACAAAGTCCCAGTCTTACTCCCGTCAGCATCTGATTGGATCGTTTCTTCGTCAGACTCGCCGTCACTGCCACTAGCATCACTGGGCTCTGAGTCCACAGAAAACCCAGTACTAGTTGTGGCTGTATTGAGTGCCATCGCCAGTGCCGAAACGGCTGTGCTTGCACTGGGTGATGGGGGAGAGAGCACTATCTTATCCTCATCGCTGGACTCGGGGGTCACTAATTCGCTTTCCGACAAATCCGAAACGTCCGACAGAGCGATGCCGTCGATACAGTTTCCTACTTCACGATTATCAATACTACCCGCGTGAGTAACAGAATTACTTGCGGCAGTCTGTTTCTGTGTATTTTCGTCAGTAGCAAGTTGCATTAATACAAACTGTGTACTTGCTTGTAAATTACCAACATCGCGGTGATCAAGACACGCACGCTTCAATGTTGGAGATTGTGTGTGTGCAACATGTTCCTTATCGGCTTCGACATCACCTTTTCGCGTCTCCATATCCCCCACCAGTGTATTAACGTACTCCCCAGTCTCTTTTGTTCTGTCACAGTACTTGTATAAGCTATTAAGCGTTGCATCTGGTGTAGCTGAGTCGGCAATGCTGCGTACTTTGTCCACGAAATCGTCCAGGGCGATAGAGCTCACACCTTCACAATTTGAACCAGTTTGCCCTTCAAATGGGTAGGGTCGCTTGTACCCGCCATTAACAGTTTCCCGTTCGGAGACACTACTATTCTCCTCGAAATTTGGACCAGTTGGCAAATCATCCCAGAAGGGATTCGAATATCTTCTTGACTCTTTATCTGCGGTTGAAGTACTAGATGGGGTTTCAACTGCCGTATACTGCTCTCCTTGTACTTGTTGCTCTTGTAGTGTATGTTCCAACTCGTCATGGACTTTCACAGGACTGTCAGATGAGAAGAATGACTCGTTATTGGTATCGAAGTTCCCTTCCTCTCGGCATATCCTACAGTTGTGTACGAGAGTCTGTGATGCAAACAGGGGCTGGTCTGGAGTCCCGTGTGAATATTCATTGGTAACTTCTTCATCTATCCATAAACTTTTCACCCGTGAAAGACCATAATCCATGAAATGCGTTTTAAGCACGTAACTAGAAACATTGTGCATAGTAGGTCGATACTCTCGCAGAAATTGCCGTCTGGCTGGGAAGGGAGTGACTTTAACTTCCGTATCGGCATCAAATACACCAATAGGCTCGGGTCTTCTATAGTCCTGGCCTGGCATCAGAGGTACGGCTGATATCATAGTGGTGTGCCACTCAGTATTTGTACCGTTAGTTGTTTAGGTGAGTTAAATACTACCTTGAATTACTCATTCAAAAGCTTCAAATGGTTGTGCCTAAAATCGCGAGGTAAATAGAGTATTTCGCAAAAAAAAAATAATATATATATATATAAATATATATATATAAATCCACAAATTCAACAGCTGCGCTGTCGACTTTACGTCCTTGAAAATACTTAAAATACTATTTATGAACCCGCGCACAGCACGTTCCGAGTTTTAGTAGTGGTGTTTGGGAGTGTGCCTGACTCAAATTATCTGTGCGGAACTGCGGATCGGGCGGATCCTGGCATGATTTTCCTGTCTGCGACTCCGTGTCTCTGCGCCATGAATTGTGAAACATTCATTCTGAGGAATTAAAAACAGTTTAAAATTGTTCAAAACTTGGTTGGTGACCAATAAAATTCCTCAAGTTAATTACTCTGTTCGAAGACAACCAGTAGATATAACATTTTCAAGTAGGAGTTACTCATTTGCAACATCTATATTTTAGTATACGACAAGAGTAATCCCATCATGTAGGTAGAATACTAGAAATTCACAATTGTATATATTTCGAAAATATAGGAGGAAGTCGGAATGGTATCACGTACAAACCTCAGACATATTGTATTCTGTATTTTGTGATATGACGCTATGTATTTATTTTGATCCATAAAATAATACACAATGTGTAGCCCGAAAATGAAATTACAAATACAAATAATAAATATACGCCATACATATAGTCTAGAAAGTGGTGCCCAATTTAGGCAATGGGTCGAAATCTGGGACAAAAAATGTGAACGGTTGCACTTTCATATTTTTCTATTTATCTGAATTCAGTCCCATTTTATCGTGAGGGTCTTGTCACTTGTGAGTCGCACTGAGTTTTCAGTTTTCACTCTTCAGTCTATGAATCATAGCCCTCTGAAATATTTTAACAAGAGAAGAGACTCTACTTTTTGACAGTAGCAGAGTGAGTGAGAGAGAAGGATATGCCGTGATCCACTCGACACTCGACAGTCGACAGTCAACACTCGACACCCGACAGTCGTCACTGACTCATCACACACCACTGGTGGAAGACCACTTTTTCTTTAATATAAATACAGTCTATAAAAGCAAATATGATATTTAAAAATATATTTATATATAATATAATAATAAAAACAATATATATATTTTTTAAACAGAATAGTATTGAAAAATATAAATATTGTTTTCAGTAGTCAGGGACTCTGGATGGACACCATAAATAATAAATAAGTAATAGCACTAAATACCGGTCTACCGCCTGTCGGTCTGCCTCAGCCCTCAGGGGCTCAGAGTTCAGACTTCAGAAGTTCAGAGCCTCAGCATTCAGGCCTCACAGGGCGGCTCAGGCTCAGACTCTCAGAAGTCAGAACTGAAAACTCAGACTCTCAGAGTTCCAGACCAGACTCTTAGTGAGGCACATATACTCGCACCACTCTCGGACTGACTTCAGTAGAGACTAATACTCTAATAGAGTGACTCTGAGACAGGCTGAGCTATATGATTCTTAGTAGTTGCTCTCCGACTTCTCAACCCTGTGCCAACAATTGTACATTACTTTGTTCAAAGTGGGAAACAAAAGTTTTATGCACTTTTGACTCTTTTAAGTTTTGAAGAGGATATCCGATATTGAATATTCAATGCTCCTATTGAATATTCCTACTATTCCAGACACCGCTTGGCCTCTATCATAAAACCGCAGGAAGAATTGTGACGAATCGTCTCTCTTTATATTGTTTTGGTGGGGTCTAGCCAAATATTTATAAATTTATAAGCCTATTTTAAAACCATTATCTCTCTACTCTCGAGTCTCAAGTCTCGTGTTGGAAATTGGAAAATGAAATATTTCGAGAAATGCGTACCGACTATATGGTGTGTAGGCCGTACAGTGTTTCGACACAATGTGTGCAATTGTCGTCTGTTCTACAATTAATTTTTATGTGGACAAAATCAGGTCAAAGGGATTTTTTTTCCACATGTATTTAGCCATAAACAGCTTTCAATCTTTATACCAAGAGAAGAGCTTCTTTTTAAAAACTGTTTTTAGCCTCGTTTTTTATAGTTTTTTTATGATGTTTTTATTTATATATATATATATATATATATAAAATCATAGCCTGCTAGATTGAACACAGAATATGGTCTTAAAATAAAAAAGATTTTTGTTGTAAATACCATAAGTAGCCAACTGAAAAAACATATTTACACACATGACACATCACACAGGTCACAGAGTAGTAAAAAAACATCAAATTCGTACTAAAAAATATTATTAGCCAATCACCAGTCATCACATAACTAAAAATATTGACGTCGACGACGTCGACTACTCTATCTCTCTCTGGTTCAGTCTGCACTCTGTAGTACATATTTAGTAGCCTGTAGCTTGGATTCCGTGGACCGTGGCGGCGTGGCCCATGGCCGCGTGGCAGAAGTTTTCTATATAAAAAACGTAAAAACAGACAAGAAAACAAAAACGAAACGAAGTATTTTATTGGTTTTTCAATAAATACCTAACTGATTTGAAGGCTAAATATTTATGAAGTATCAGCTGTACTGTACTGTACATACATATAATATGTATAATTGTATTGTAGGCTGTATTTATATTTCATGGTATTTTTTATATGTACTGCTAAACACTACATTCTAAATAAATACTTTCTAAATACAGTATTTTACTTAGCCTAAAGGTTATTTTACCTCCATGAAATATAAATCTAAATATAAATAGAGCATGATAATAGAATTCTAGAGTGTTTTTTCTTTAAACAATGAAAGTGAAATGCACAACTAGAAAAATAATCAATTTATATTTTCTAAAAACAAATTAAACAAACACGACAAGAAAAAGAAAACACACAATCAACAAACGATAATTCTATATAACAACAGCCTCCTAAATTGCTAAATAAATATATTTACCAAAGAACACCAACAAATTCATAGCCTTCTTCTAAAATTGTAAATTTGCGTGTATAAATGTGCGTTCATGTGTGTGCATGTGTGTTCTGTGGGTGTCTTATACAT